ATACATATGATAGTGACTAGAAAATGACAGTATGGGCAGGTAATGATGAGAACAGGGCTTGTATTTGTGGTTGTAACAGGGACTAATATTGCTTCCCTCTTACATATCACACACCGTAACTGGGACATTGTAAAGAAGGAAGAAAACTGCAGACTTCTGGTCTTCTGACCATACTAGAAATCACCGACATGCTCATTTTACTGATGAGATAACAGTTTCTTTGAGAAATAAGCAACATTCCAAGGCTCATGTGTGATGATAGGCCGATACATTGTGCAAAGACCTGCATAAGATAACTCTAAAGGGCTCTGGAGCTTCCCAGGGGACTGGCTGAAATCTTTGTTTTAGCCACATCAGAACCTAACTTCTTCTTCTGCCCAGCCCTGCTTCAATTACCTTTTCACAAATATCATTCCCCAAAGCACTCCTGAATAACCCCCGGCATAAGATTTCTGAGTTCAGAGTCCACGTTTCTATGGGTGCCTGGACTATGGTACACCACTCTCATTCAGCCTTTCAGGGCACAGACCTGGAGGAAGGGGCAGGAGAAAGCCTTACCCACGATCATGTGGTTACAGACGTCACAGAAAGTGGGCTTCTTGAAGATGTGCTCCTGAAAGGCATGTGCCTTGCCACTGTTGGGGTGAAGGCCCAGCCTGGTGGGTGTAGATGTCAGGCTTCCGGGTAAAGGCAGCGAGCTGGAGCTGGGACTGACTTCTGCCAGTATGTCTGCTGGCAGCTTCACGTCGCTGTTGGTTCGCTGGAAGAAGTTGTCAGCACTTTTGCTCCGTAAACTCTTGGTCTTGAAAGAAAGTGATCGTTTTAGTTTCTGGAGCTGCAATGCAATGACAGAACAGGCTCTCTTACGATGGATCATGCAGACTCATGCTGTGGGGGTGAGGTCTGCTCCATGCACTGCATAGTTAGTTCCCAGTGACACCCTCAGCGCTAAGGAAGCTCTTGTATGTCTCTGTGTGGGTGGACGATATCAGTGCTAAGTTAAGATGAAATTCAGCAGCACCCCCCCCAAGGCCCTGCACCCCCCAAGCCAGAATAGCAGAAAGGGCACCACAGCCTTTGTTTTGCCTTTGCTGCCTGTTCCCTGTGTCCTTAAGGTTCCAACAATATGCAGTCAAAATATCTTATATTGAGTTTTTGATACTGAGTTTTGAATTTATGTAATTAGAAATGATGCATGCACTCATGGGTTAAAAGGCTGGGTGTGTAATGCTGACATTTCTCTCTTATGACCTCTCAGCAGTCACTTGTCTCTGTGGAAATCAAGGCACAAGAGGCTACATCTGAACTGACATCAGTCTAGCTAAATTAGCCACAGGACACAAGCCGCAAATGCTCATGCTTGCTTGAGTCTGTTGCATATGACAACAGTATGTTGGACAGAGCATTTACACATCTGGCTCTCCTTGTCTTTCCTCTGGACTTCCCACTTGTCCTTGGCCATGGCAGATGAAGACTAGGACATTTTTCCTTTACTTTGAGACTTTTGAATAGAAACAAAAATGGGTTTTGAATGCTGCCTGCACTTGTGTCCAGGATTACTGATCCTGGAGGGATCCTTTGGAAATATAGCTGTGAGCATGTGAACCTCTTGTTTAGTCCTTTAAGAATTTTTTTCCCCAAACATTTAAGGAAAAAGATCTGAATACTGACTTGAGGGAGTAGTAGATTCTTGGACTCTGATGACACCTGCTTTGCTCTGTCCATATCAACTCCTGTGTGATTTCAAAGTCTCTCCTGTGTACTATCTTTTCAACACCAGAATTTAATACTCAAATTCCCCTCTATCCAGATGCGAGAAATGAACCACTTGCTACATGACCATCAGTAGCTCATTTCAGCTTCAAGATGGCTCCCTTTATAGATGTGTTTTCTATTGCCTGGGATTAATATTTATGGCTCAGTGCTAGAAACAAAAAGGTACTTAGTGCTCTGTTCTAATAAGGGTCTCCACTAAATGTGGTTGGGCTTTCTCACACAATATGTTGGATGAGTCAATGTGGCCTTGGCAAGACCCTCTACTTCCACTTCAACCCTCTAACTTCTACATCAAAAGATGTTGAAGATGTGGTGATCATTAGAGCTTGGAGTATATTGCACAAGCACCACAATTTCTTCCCCTTCTGCTTACCCAGACCACTTGCAAGGTGACTTTGTATCTATTCTCATCCAAAGCAGAGCCTATTTTCCACTCCTGACTCTTTTGGTTTTGGAAATTGGATCAATAAAAAGCAGTGAAAGTAATTTTAAGCTAGTTCTAACAGCAAGCCTCAGTGTGCCTTCCTTGCTTCAGTCCTCCATTGGAAACCCCGTCAAATCACTATAGATGCAACCCTAAGGTGGTCTTAAGGATTATGGGGGCCACATGGTCTTGTCAAGCTCCCATCACTCCACAGAGATTCCGCACTTACCCTGTAGACTTGAGGGAGTCTAGCCAACACTGAACAAGTTCCAACTCAACTATACTCACGTTGTCTACACACATACTCATCACATGAAGACATGACTAGTGCTTTAATTCAGTAAGCTTTACACCTATTTTATGTACCCAGTAACAAATAAGTGACAGTGCTGTTCTCCCCACCTTTCAGGTGCTTCTTCAGACACCTGTCCTTGGATGTGGTTGTATGAGGTCAACTCTCCCACTTGAGGGACTCACACAGTGTGGAGGCCCTGCAGGGTCTTCTAGAAAAGCAGCATTATGGGCAACAGTAAGGCATCATCAGCCAGAAAAGAGTATCCAGAGTGGCAACAGCCTGCATAGAGAAGTCAGAAACAGTGACCCAACCAGGACTCTTGTTTCTTTTTCCTGTGCTACACCTCAAATCTACATGGATCTGAATTCTTTTGAATGTTTTTTACTGTAATGTAACCTAGCTTATCCTGACTGCTGAGGAGAGTGGGATCATAAGTTCTTGGGAGCATAGTGCTAATCTTGAAAAGGACCCTCAATTTCTGAAAATGTTTAGTGACAGGAGACTGTGAAACAATCATTCACTGAGACTGACTGGGCCAATCCAAGCTGAGGACCTGCATAGTAACTCCTATGCACTTCAAATCCTTCAAGTTACAAACTGAGCTAGAGCTGGGAGAAGGCAAGACTAAGGTTTTATTGTAGATAGTTTTAAAAATATACAGTAAGCAAACAGGATGTTCAGGAATCTGCTAAGATTTTTCAAGGAATGTGTCACCTTGAGGGAAGGACACATATCAAGGCAAATATTATCACACAGAGAGGCCAAATTTATTTTCTGTTTGTGCCCAACTATGTCCAGACAGGTCCATAATTATCTACTTATATCTCAAAAAGGCAAAACAAACAAACAAGCAAACAACACGCAGACTGATGTCATCTTCCATGATCACAGAGGGTACCACTGTGAGTCACTGAGGATGATGTGCAGGAGAGCCCTCTGAGAACTCTACCTGCTATGAATGGGTGGAGGACAATGGCAGGGAGCAGAGTGCAGACCTGGGCCAAGTGCTCACCAGGGAATCCAACCTAGTCCTTCATCCCTTCAAGGAAGATGCTGTTAATCCCTTGTGGAAATGGAGCGTGAGGGAAGTTAACTTGTTTATGGTCAAGCAGTTTACACAAATCCAGACCAGAGTTCAAAGGTAGATCAGCTTTTCTCTGATTTCCTTAGTCCTTCTGCTGCCAGTGAGTCTCTGTGGGATGCATGGGAGGTGAAAGAGAGTTATCCCTTACTCTCAGGGAGGAGAAATTACTTCTGGTGACTAGTGAGGATGATAAGAGATGCGGAACTGGAAAGTAATCTACATTTTGCTGTCTGCTCCGTGAAAGTTTAGGTATGATATTTAAATATGATGTTAAAACATGCCCTATTTTCTCTGCCCTCTGGGATGTGGCTGGAAATTGTGTCAGGCTTCTGTGGTCTGTCTGCCTCTCGAGTCAGAGAATTTACTTGGAAGCCAATGTGACATTTCTTACTTAAGTGGATAGCTTAAGTGGAGAGAAATCACTCCCTATAATTGTCTGCATTTCAGAAAATTATTCTTCATTACACAATTGATTCAATAAATATCTATGGGGTGCTACCCTGACCAAAGCATAGTCTTCGATTTGATGATTTAGCAGTCAAAACAGCAAGTTTTTTCTCCTTAAGGTTTTAACACCTAGTGGGTAGTGGATAAATATAGAAAAAAATGATATATGATATCAATTTGGGTGGGCAGAGGGTGTATTAAGGAAAATAAAAGCAGAACTAGGCCTTAGAAAGTGATAGGGAAGGCTTCTCTGATGGTTGACATTTGAGCAAAAATGTGAAGGAAATGGTGAGTGTGTGAGCCATGTTGAAGAAATGTACTGCTGTCTTCAGGAAGATGAAGAGCAAAGGCCCATGAGAGGGAGCAAGGTTCATGTCCTGAGGAACTCCAGGAAGTCATTGACTCTAGAGAAGGCGATGAAGCAGAGAAAGGGCACAGATGCCAAAGGCAGCTTCATGCTGGGCCTGGCAGGTCACAGCTAAGGCCCTGGAATTTATCCGAAAGGTGACAGCTTTAAGCAGGGAAATAACAGGGTCTGACTTTTAATTTAAAAGGATTATTTTAGAATCCTTGTTAAAAAAAAAAAAGATAGTAGGAGGGCAAGACGGAAATAAGGAGTCCAGTTTGGAGACTATTGCAGGAGAAGAAATTCTGGTTTGATCTAGTTATAGTAAGGTAAAGTTGAATATAGAGTACCTTTGAAAGGTAGACTCACGAATTTATGAATAAAACCTCAAATTTCCTTTCCCAGAGAGGGGGAGAAATGATGAGTCATTGAATGTGGAGAATGAATAACTGCAACTTTTTTTCCTGGAACAACTGGGTGAATGGGAGTGCTATTACTATTTAATAGAAAAAAGAAGTTGGCATGGATAGTGCAGTCAGTGATTTGCAAGTTTATTAGGAATTCAAGTGGACTTGTAAAGTCAGCACCTGGATGTATGACTGTAAGATTCAGAGGAATGGTCCACGCTAGAGTAATACTTGGGAATCACTAACGTATAGATGGTACTGGGAGCCATGAGTGTAGATGAAATATCACACAGGCAGACTGGAGAGCAGTGAACTGAAGACAAAATCCTGGAATACACCAATATCTGGAGGATAAGAATATTAATGAAGAGGAGCATAGGAACTTGACGGGAGTCCAAAGAGGAAGGCGGAGACCTAAAAAGCAAGAGTTATTATAGAAGCCAAGGGGAGGGATGATTGAAGAAAGACAGACTAGCAAATAGCATTAAATTACCCCTATGACAATGTCAGGAAATGTGAGCTTTAAGGATTGATCATGGTATTTGGAAGGGGATTACTCTTTGTGGGACATGAACAGCAATGGATTCAGTGAAGTCCTCCACATGAAAACATGACCAATTTTAGGAAAAGAATGGCGGGAAAGGGTACGAATAGAGAAGGTAAGCAGGGGCAGTTTATTTTGAGCGTTTCATCATGAAGGGAATTTGTGAGAAGAGCCACTACCTGGAGGGGGATTTGGCACTTCAGGAGGTTTTATGTTGATTTATTAAAATATAGTAAGTTACTTCAGTAGGCTTTACATCTGGTGATGGGGTGGTACTGAATGATGCCCCTAAGTGCGGGGAATGGTGGGATACAGTGCACAAGAGACATGGCTGTCCTTAGTTTGCAGTGAAACCATTTATCTGTAAGAAGGCAGACCTGGTGCCAGTTGGGCATGGGTCTTTTCTTTTGATTACTTTTATTTTTTCAGTGACAACAGAAAAAGTCTGTTTCTTCAGTGAGAAAAAACTGGAAGTGGAGGGGTGAGATGTTGGAAGTTGGAAGAGAGATGCA